TCTTTCCCCGCCATTGACGAGTTATCTCGTCTTTTAGAAGAAAACGCTTCAAAGACGAGTTTGTACGGCTTTTTGTGTTTTCACTGTTATACACTCGGGGGCGCTATTACGCATCTTCTGAACGAGTACAAAACCTCCCGAACAAAAACACGGAGAAACGAGCGATCTCTTATGTAAACAGATGCATATGAAAAATAATGCGATCATCAGCAATAGACAGCATATTGATGATTTTTTTTGTTTAAAAGTAGAGGCTCTGATTTTTATTTTGGTGTAATACCCAAATATTCATACAGCAAAATATACCTGAGGCCATCAAATTTTTGTGAAAATCATGAAAAACGCTGGCGGGCAACTTTTTTCAAAAATGCTGGCGGGGAAAGAGTTAATGAAAATAAAACATTTTTACGTTTATTTCAGAGTTGATTGAAGAAAATGAGGAGAGTGAAGAATTGAGTGAAGTTGAGGGAAAAAATCACTTCAGAACTGGAAAAAAACCTTTGAGTTGCTGTCGAACTCTGAAAGTTTTAAAGAAAAGAAGATCCAAGAAATCTTTCACCTGCACTCAGTGTGGAAAGAGATGGACATGCAAACATCATCTTGAGCTTCAAATGAGAGTTCATACTGGAGAGAAACCGTTCACTTGTGATCAGTGCGGTAAGAGTTTCACACACACATCAAGTCTTAAGAGACACATGGACATCCACACTGGAGAAAAACTGTACACGTGATCAATGCGGGAAAACATTTTTGAGAGCTTTATACCTGAAGAATCACCTGTTAGTTCATACAAAGGAGAAGCCACATTCATGTCATTTGTGTGGAAAGAGTTTTTCATTCCTACAACATTTAAAAGAACATCAGAAAATACATACTGGTGTGAGAGACTACATGTGCTTTGAGTGTGAAAAGACTTTTACTTACGCGAGCAGTTTAAAACTGCATGAGAGGATTCACACTGGAGAGAAACCTTACAAGTGTTCACACTGCGACAAGAGATTCATTGATCCAGGACATCTGAAAACACACGAGAGGATTCACACTGGAGAGAAACCTTACAAGTGTTCACACTGCGACAAGAGATTCAGTCATTCAGGAATCCTGAAAACACACGAGAGGATCCACACTGGAGAGAAACCTTATAAGTGTTCACACTGTGACAAGAGATTCAGTCAGTCAGCAACTCACGAGAGGATCCACACTGGAGAGAAACCGTATCACTGCACTGCATGTGGGAAGCATTTCAAACATTCATCTTCTCTACACAGTCACACAAAAAACATTCACCGTAAGTAGATCATATTCAGATCCAGCACTTTCAGATCTGATGCTGCCTCCTCACCAAATGTGACACAATAATGCATCAAGCAATAAAATATCATCTGGATAAATATGTCATAACAAGTAACAAGACAAAAAAACAATATCTAAAGTTTTCACAGTGAAAAAAGGTTTATTCTTGTATATAATGTTGCTTCATGATATAAATGACATTAGTGTGCTTTCTTATGAGTTTCATATTATGTTCAATTGTCTTATAATGCATGTCACTTGTAGTGTGCTTACTCTTTCATGAAGGAAAGCAGAGGTTTTTACAAACTCAAACTGTTCTTGTTCAGGAAGCTGAAGAAGAGACTGTAACACTTTTAAGAGAGACTGAGATTTATTTTTTATTTTGTTCTTCATTGTGTAAGGCCTCTGCGGAACAGATCCACCAAAAAGCCGCAGAATAAACAAATTCCAAAACCAGATCTAAAGACTCCCCCACACAGCCATCACGAGGTCGTAAAACTGACAACACCCTCATTGTCTGGATTAGTTTCCTCTCAACATGATAGTAGCTAATCCAATCAAGGGAAAAGAGAACTCCTTTGTCTGGACGAAGAGGTTTTTACAAACTCAAACTGTTCTTGTTCAGGAAGCTGAAGAAGAGACTGTAACACTTTTAAGAGAGACTGAGATTTTTTTATTTATTTTGTTCTTCATTGTGTAAGGCCTCTGCGGAACAGACCCACTAAAAAGCTGCAGAATAAACACATTCCCAAAACAGGATCTAAAGACTCCCCCACACAGCCATCACGAGATCGTAAAACTGACAACACCCTCATTGTCTGGATTAGTTTCCTATCAACATGATAGTAGCTAATCCAATCAAGGGAAAAGAGAACTCCTTTGTCTCGACGAACTGAAGACTCGTTTAAGCAACACACGGTTAAGTGCTACCTTGTGGACACTATGCATAAATCCATAGTAGAAGCCCGAAAACAGGAAAAGGCAAATTTACGTGACACTCTCCAGGCCTGCAAACACCCAAGATCCATACAGCGTGACTCCTCGTGACCCGCGAGGGCAGGGGTCTGCAACCTTCAACAACAAAAGAGCCATTTTGGCCCCTTTCCCACCGGATAAAATTCTTGCATTTTTGATGTTTCAGAATTTTGGATCCATGCGTTAGTTCTTAAAGTGACAGCAGCCTGTGGAGCAGTCGTGGTCTAATGGTTAGAGAGTCGGACTTGTAACCCAACGGTGAGACCCCTGAGCAAGGCACCGAACCCCCAACTGCTCCCCAGGTGCCGCAGCAAAAATGGCTGCCCACTTCTCCAGGTGTGTGTTCATGGTGTGCGTGTTCAATGGTCACTGCTGTGTGTTAAGCAGATCTTTTATCAAAAAGGGAAAGAAAGAAACACAGAAATGTTTAAACTTCATTGCAAGCCATACAATCTAAAGTCAAATTGTGAAATTAATTTACTGAAACTTTGGAATTTTCCATAATAAAAGGCAAAAAAAAAGAGCTACTATGTTAATCTTACTGCATGCACCCAAGTGTGAAAAGTGACATTAAAAATGCAAGTTTTCTTTTTTTTTTTTTTTACATTTTTGAGTTGACATTCAAAAACAGGACCAATTTAACAGATTGAAAGTGATAATTTCTGTCAATTTTACTGGAATATATATTTTTGTTGTCTTCCTCGGGAGAAGAAAAATAACAATTATAATCATGACAACACTGGGCGAAACTGTTGAAGTGTCTCGCGTCAGATATGATTGTGTAATTCTTACCTGTTATTGTGTTAAAACTAAAATACTCCTGCAGTAATCTGAAAGTGAAAATCACAATAAAGCACATGTTGATGCAGTACTTCAGCAATCATCATTTTACTTGAACCCAAGTGTACAGCTGGCCACAAAAGGGCAAAATTTTTACTTGTGGTGTTTCGTTCTTCCTGTTGTCACGCTTATGGACTTGTTTTGGTGTGAAAACTCCACACAGTAGCAATCGTGACAGAACACCGGACCGAACAAAGAAAAAAATTAGTGAGTGTCGCCTTTTCCACCTATTTTGTTTTCTTGTGTTTTTGACTGTTTTTTTTTTTCTGGTTTCCCTATGGATCTCCTCGCCTCGATGTTCACCTCCCTAGCCCGAAAAGACCTGCCCTTCGTGGAGTATACAGTTGAGTTCAGCCAGCTCACTGTTTTAATGACGTTCGACGATGCTGCGCTGAACTCACTGTTCTGGATCGGGGCAAATTACCACTGCCCCGTCGCCCTCCCAGACTTTACCACTGCCCCGTCGACCTCCCAGACTTGGAGCATCTATCCCCGATCCAGAGCACAGCCAGACCCAGAGCCCAGCCCACTATCTCCCCGTTGTGTGGAGCCCAAGCCCGAGCCCACCGATGATGGAGAGCCCGAGCCTGGTGCGACCGACGAGCCATCGCCTAACAGAGCTAAAGTGCTGAGGATCGCCGCGGAGCCGGAGCTGCAAGTAATGTCAGACCAGGTGCGAGAGCCGGCTATAACGCCTGCCACGAGGGAGAATGCCGTGGACCGTGAGAGCGTGGAGAGGAGCTCTGCCCCCTGCACCATGACTGAGGGTGAGCTTAATGTGATTCTGGGACTGCTGTACTTAGAAGGAGAGATTTTGAATGTATATGCTGACCTGCCCCCTCTCCTCCCTCCTTCATCGGAGCCCTCTGTCACTCATGTTTCCCCACCCAGCCCGGAAAGAGAGACTGTTCCCGAGCTCAGCCCAGAGAGGGCTTCTGTCCCTGAGTCCAGCCCAGAGGGGGCTTCCGTTTCCAAGATCGGCCCAGAGAAGGCTTCTGTTCCCGAGTTTAGCCCAGAGTAGGCTCCTGTTCCTGAAAATGGCCCAGAGAGGGCTTCCATTCCCAAGGTCAGCCCAGAGAAGGGCTCCTGTTCCTGAGTTTGGCCCAGTGAGGGGTCCCATTTCCGAGTCCAGCCCCGAGAGGCCTCGTGTCCCCGAGCCCAATCCAGTGAGGGCTTCCATTCCCAAGTTCGGCCCAGGGAGGGCTTTTGTTCCTGATTGCAGCCCTGTGAGCCCAGAGGCTCAAAAATGCCCACCCACCCTCCTGCTCCTGCCTCCTCCACCGCTGTCGTCTGGCAGCCCCTCTGCTCACCCTCAGCTCACCGTCTGTACGGTGTGAGCTCCGCGGGCCTGCCCGTCTCCATCGTCAGCATGGCTGGAAAATCCTTGGCCTCTGCCTCCAGCATCTGAGTCCCGGACTCCGCCTCGGTTGTCGACCCATCGGCTCCACCATGGCTCTTAGCTCCCTCTTCTCTGCCGTGGCTCGTCAGTTCACCAGCTCCACTGTGCTCCCTCGTCCCTCCGGCTCCGCCTTGGTCTGTCGTCGACCATCCGTCGCCTCGGGACTCCACTCCTCCGGCTGCGCCTCGTTCCTCCGTCTCCATCAGGCTCCTCCTTCCCTTTGGCTGCTCCTTGGTCCTCTGTCGCTCCGGCTCCACCGTGGCCTTCAGCCTCCTCGTCACCCTGGCTCATCGGCTCTCCATCTCTGCCTCGGGCTCCTCCGCCACCTGCTCCGCCGCCATCGGTCGGCCCCCTGGAGTCATCAGGCGCCACCATGGGTTGCCTTTATGGCTGTGGCCTGGGGCCCACCTGGCTCCGCCTGCTCCAAGTCCCTCCTGTCTCCTCCCTCCTTCATCACCACCCTGGACTCTGTCTTCCGGCCCCCTCCCGGGTGTCCGTCCTCCTCCCAAGGTTCCACCCATTCCTCCCTCTGTTTTTTCTATGGTGTGAGGACGCGCCTTCTGGGAGGGGTGGGGGCAATATGTCATGCTTATGGACTTGTTTTGGTGTGTTTTCCCTCCCCATGTGCTCCGTGATCTAGTTTCCCTCTTGTTTGATTAGTCATTTGTTTCAGGTGTGTCCCGTTAATTACCCTCATTTAGTTCAGTATTTAAAGTGTTGTCTGTTCCTTGATTCCTTTGTACGGTGTTCTCAATGCTATGTGTTACATCATTATCCCTAGCATTTAAGCTCCAGTCTTTGCATTTCTCCCCTGTCGGGTCTACTTCGTCTTTACATGTGTCAGCATCTCGTTCCTGTATTGGATTACCCCTGTGTTTTGATGATTAAAAGACTGTTGATTGTACTCCACGTTTCTCTCGTCCCTCCGACAATGTAAGTGTGACAGAAGACCCGACCTACACAGTTACCTCCGTGTTTTCTCTCCATTTGTTTTCTCGTTTTTCTCTGTCTTTTTTTTTCGTTGTGTGCCCTT